CAGGGAAGGAGGAAACGGATCAATTATGATACATAACCATGCAATGACTATGTGTTCAAGATTATAACTTTTGTGTTCTGTACTCATAATCGATTAACTATAAACGAAGTATTTTACAAGAAATCTGTGATCCAAGTTAAACTTAGGAACACGTGGGCAACTTGCATTATCCAAGAGGGAGTACATTAAGAGCTGATTAATATCTGCATTAACATGCACTAACATAACACAGGAATAGATGACAGTTGGCTTTTGCTGCTTATATAATTCTATTGGGCAAACGAGCTATGAGGCACAGCAGGTCTGCAACGCAGCATCACCTGATAACTGCCAAACAAATGTTTTTATTGAAGAGATCATACACAACATGACAACAATGCACTCCATGAATGGTATGCGGGATAAACATCGGCGGCTGATCTAACCAGTTTATCACCCGGCGGAAGCGTAGCACTGCCCCTAATCTATCTAGTCTACAGTCTACAGATATGACTTGGGCTACAAGAAGGAATAAGAGGGAGAGAGAATTATATGCGTGACATAGTTTGTCACGTTACAATATGTTTAACATCCCAATCACAAATCTCGCAAAAAAAAACATCCCAATCACAAACCATCTATTATGGGAACGGAGTTGATATGAGGAAACGGCTATATCCACACAAAGAATAAGATCATCGGTCATTGTTGTGGGTAACTTACCACCAAAAAATTCTTACAATCGTCGAATCCTTCCAATAATGGGCTAAGGTCTAACTGACCATCCATAAAACACATAGTTTGGGCATTCTGGCTTGGGTGATTGCGAGGTTTAACTTGTCTGCGACACTTGAACCTTTTTTTCGAGGAAGCAACACTTGAACCTTCCCCAAGGCCTTCTCGCCATCACCAACACCGAGCTTCTTACGAACGGCTAAGAGCACCTCTCCGGCACCGCGGATGTAAGGTGTTGTTCGCCTGTGGGCAGAGTTACTTCCTCCATGTCGTCCATATAGTCCTGCAAACACAGTAAAGGGAGATCATGGATTTCTCGTCGCATCTAGTAGTACTAAATACACGTCCTCTAATGTTACGAGTATCTAGTAAACAATCTCTTCTGCCTAAAACCGACTCCATTTTTTTTAAGATTTTGATAGCAAATTATCTGCATTGGTGGTCAGGACCATATATGTCAAACCTTTTGAAAAGAAGACTATGTATGTTTACTCTTCGGAGCGAGACAAGAAGACATTTTTGAATGATGATGTCTTGTGATTAGGAAGTGATCAGACTATCAGGTCTAAATGGGTCACTTCCAACTTTCCAAGAGTTTGGCGATACACGCTAGACCATGTAGCGTTTAAGCCTCGGGGTGATGGAAACAAAGTTAAGACCTGCAATAGTATTGAGCTACAGAGGAAATGATGCAAAGTAGTTTGGTCCCCCAAACAGCTCAAATCTGCAAGCAACACCTCCAAGTGTTAGCATTGGCATGGTACAGTGAAGTACTAGTTAGTGGCCTAGTAACGGCTGTGCAGCAGCAAGAGAATCAGATAGTTGGAGTAAGGAAAACACAGGCCATGTAAAATATGCCTTGGTGGCTCAGTCCAAATCTATCTATATCCATAACTGTCTATTCTAGCTATATCAATATCTTCTAATAGGAGTCTATGCTATACCTGTATTGTATATATATATCTATATCTATATCTATACAATGGTAAGTAATCAAGCATTTTGCAATGTTACAAGTATCCTCCGCCGTCTAGAAGAAGGCCCGACAAATTGCATCTACTGCTTTGGGGACCTTTTTGGGTAACAAAGATTGACATACAATATGTGGCGAAGGAGTCAAGAACAATGGCAAGAAGGAGAAGGACAGCGAGAGGGTCCTAGCCCTCCAACCTTTAGGAACTTATGACATTTCGAAATGATGGGTTGAAAAGCACAGGCAGACATGAGGGCAAAGAGGGGTGGGCCAAGGTATATGTCAGGGAAGGAGGAAACGGATCAATTATGATACATAACCATGCAATGATTATGTGTCCAAGATTAAAACATTTGTGTTCTGTACTCATAATCGATTAACTATAAACGAAGTATTTTACATGAAATCTGTGATCGAAGTTAAACTTAGGAACACGTGGGCAACTTGCATTATCCAAGAGGGAGTACATTAAGAGGTGATTAATATCTGCATTACTATGCAGTAACATAACACAGGAATAGATGACAGTTGGCTTTTGCTGCTTATATAATTCTATTGGGCAAACGAGCTGTGAGGCACAGCAGGCCTGCAACTCAGCATCACCTGATAACTGCCAAACAAATGTTTTTAGTGAACAAATCATACACAACAATGCACTCCATGAATGGTACACAGGATAACATCAGGTCGAATTATTCAAGATATACCTAACATGATTCAAGTAAACCTAAGTAATGGAACATTAAATATCTAAGGACGTGAAAAAACAGAAATGAATATGTACAGCTGGGCCATCACATGGAGGTGACAATCAGGAGCATCCCATATTAGCCAAACCAATTTAGACCAAGTTGGTTAGAAGTCGGTGGTAGTTTTACTGGTTTCTGCCATGTTTGAGAATTTTTTCACCTTTGTTCGGACGGCCACCAACTTCCTAGTAGCAGAGCAAACAAGGTGGACCTGACCTATCAACACTTACTCTGCCCGTCATGTGATCATGTTAGAACACAGGCTACTCGAATGAACGCGTAACTAAGTGTTGCCTCCTTTCACTGAAGCTGAGATCTTCTGCTGCTTTCAGGCCAATGGAAGCTCGGCGCATTGTTATATTGTGTCAAATCGCAAGATATGGTCTCCACCTAGAAGGCAAACAAAATTTAAGAAAAATAAGCATTAGTTCATCAGAATTTACTAAGACCAGTATGAACTTACTAAGACCAGTAAGACCAGTAAAAACGGAGGGAGCAGTAGCATAAATGATAAAATCCCGAAGAAGAATACGGTTCAGCCCAGCTTGGACGCCATGTGCGAATTTGCGACTATTTTGGAATGAGAACAAAGTTTCAATGTTCTGAACATCTCTTTAAAACGGAATATATTTTAAAATTCTGCACATTTTATAAAAATTTGAGTTCGATTTTTTATGATATTATATGAACTTTATTGAAAATTTTGAATTTACGAAAAAAGAGGAAGAAAGAAAAGTAAACTTGATAGAAAAAAACAAAAGAAATATGAATGAAAAAGTGAAAGAAACTGAAAAAGAAAAATAGAAACATAACAAAAAAAGGATTCAGGCCTAGTTGGGCATCATGTGCGAATCTGTGACTATTTTGCGCTCGATGCGATAAATAGGGTTTTCCCACCTGTGTGGGTACAAAAATAACTAGGCTGGCTTTGCTGGGCCACACTGTAGGCGACCCATGTACGAAATTCTGTCTTTTTTTATTTTCTAGTACAGGCATGGACAAATATTTAATACCACCTCAAACAGAAAAAAATCTTTTCGATGGTGAACGGATAAAAAAATCGAAAAAAACGCACCTTGATTTATTAATATTAATTAATATTAATAATTATAATTATAATTATATATATTATTATTATATTATTATTATTATTAGTAAGAAAGTAAAAAAATATAGAAATGAAGTTTTGCCTTTCGATTGTAAGCAATTTTTTTTAGTGGTATGTAACAAGGTTGAGGCGGGTGGACGGGACGAGTGGTATTTTCGGCCCGCTCCTGTAAACAAGGTATACATTGAACGAGTCGAGTTGTATATTTCGCCCCGAATGCTTTTGGCTCGGTAAACTGAACAAGCTAAGTTGTATATTTCGGCCTGAAGTTTGACCGGTCCAGCTCGGTTGGCCCAAAAAAATCATGGTCGGCACGGCCATGACTCGTCAGCCCCCATGGCGAACCACCGTGCCCCCGAGCACCGCCGCATCACCATTGTCCTACAAGAGCGAGGAGTTGCTCCGGAATGCCGCAGCGCCGAGACATAGGGCTCAAAGATGATAAGAGGAGCGGTGGGAGAGGAACGCTGATAATGCAGACGCCTCGCTCCATAATCTGCAAAGACTAGAAGAAGACTAGAGACTTTTCTTCTCATGGACATGGACAGAGCCAGGCAACACCATTGGGCACGAACATTCGCCGGTCGCTGGCTGCCACCGTCCGACTGGAAGACCCGAGTCTTCGGTAGCAGCAGACTCCACCACACAAATCGGGTCTTCGGCAGCAGACTATATAGGAGTATAGCACCCGGAGATATCAAAGGCAATCGAAACCAAAACCAAAACCAAAACCATGGCCATGTTCCCCTGTCTAATCCTCAGTCTGCTCCTCACTTTTGCATCGGCGCAGCTGACGACGTTGAGCGCCGGCTCGACTCTCGCCGTGGAGGACTACGAGCGCACGTTCCTCGCCTCACCAAACGGGACCTTCTCCTGCGGCTTCTACCCGGTCGGCTCGAACGCCTTCACCTTCTCCGTCTGGTTCGCCCGACAAGGCCGTGGTCTGGTCCGTGAACCGCCATTCCCCGGTGAACGGGCACGGGTCCAAGGCGCTGCTGCACGGCGATGGCTACCTCGTCCTGGCCGACGCCAACGGCTCGGCGGTGTGGGCGAGCAGCGGGGGCGCGGGCGACGACAGGTCGACGGCCGCGCTGCTGGAGACCGGAAACCTCGTCATCAGAGACTCGGGCGGCGCGGTGCTGTGGCAGAGCTTCGCCTCGCCGACCGACACCTTGCTCCCTTGGCAGCAGCTGACCAAGGACACCAGGTTGGTCTCCGGCTACCACAGCCTCTACTTCGACAACGACAATCGGCTTCGTCTCGTGTACAACGGGCCCGAGTTCTCCAGCATCTACTGGCCAAACGATGACTACACCATGTTTCAAGACGACGATGGCCCGAGTTTCAACAACAATTCCAGGCTTGCAGTCCTCGATGACAAGGGTTGGTTCTCCTCAACCGATGGCCTCCCGGTACCAGAAGAAGACTGACGCTCGAGCACGACGGCAACCTCAGAATGCACAGCCTGGACGCGTCGAGTGGAAGATGGGTGGTCACATGGCAAGCCATACTGCAGATGCACTATGTGCATGGCCTATGTGGGAAGAAGGGGTTCTTCGAGTACTCGCCGAGACTCCGCTGCTCGTGTCCTCCTGGATTCGAGATGGTTAATCCAAACGTGTGGAGCAAAGGCTGCAGGCCGACGTTCAGCTACAACTGTGGTCAAGACAGGTACAGCTTCATCCAGATCCCTCAAACCGATTTCTACGACTTTGATCTTGGCGTCAACGACTCCATCTCGTTTGAAGAGTGTAGAAACATCTGCTTGGGCATGTGCTCTTGCATCGCTTTCTCTTACCGGCTGACCGGAACCGGCGTTTGTTACCCTAAAGGCCTGCTGTTCAATGGCTACAAGTCGCCTGCATTCCCAGGAAGTGTCTATCTTGAAGTGCCCCTCACTGCTGACATTCAGATTCAGGTCTCTGAATCACCACAATCAGCTCTCACATGCTCCCATGTTGGTCCCAAGACTAGGCATGAACCTTCAGATCACATGGACAGATGGCTATATTTCTATTTATGTCCTGGATTGTTAGGAGCCCTGGAGCTCATTCTCATCTTGACGACATGGTGGTTCCTTTCCAGGAAGAATGGCAATGTGCAAGATTCAACACAGGGAGGTTATGCGGTGTTAAGAAATCAGTTCAGGAGATTTACTTACCAAGAGCTACAGCAAGCAACTGGAAGGTTCAGAGAAGAAGTTGGAAGAGGTGGCTCTGGGATTGTGTACAGAGGATTGCTAAAAGATAAGAGGGTCATCGCGGTGAAGAATCTCATGGATGTCACCAAACACGAAGAGGAATTCTGGGCAGACACGAATGTGATCGGGAGGATCAATCACATGAACCTGGTTCGCACATGGGGATTCTGCTCACAAGGCAAACACAGGCTGCTGGTATATGAATTTGTGGAGAATGAGTCACTGGACAGGCACCTGTTCAGCGCGGAAAGATTGCTCACGTGGAGCGAGCGTTTCCATATCGCCTTGGGATCGGCGAGGGCCCTGGCTTATCTCCACCACGAGTGCCTTGAGTGGGTTCTACACTGTGACGTGAAGCCTGAGAACATACTCTTGACCCGAGATTTTGAAGCCAAGATAGCAGACTTTGGGTTAGCAAAGCTGTATAAAAGAGATGGATCCAGTTTCAACTTCTCACATATGCGAGGAACAGCCGGTTATATGGCCCCGGAATGGGCGATGAATCTGCCAATCAATGCCAAGGTCGACGTCTATAGCTTCGGAGTGGTGCTCCTAGAACTGGTGGCTGGGAGGAGGATTTCCAGCTGCACAAAGGATGACAAAGTTATCAAACTGAAACAATTTGTCCGGGGTGTGAAGGAAGCTTTAGTTACCGGGGATGCTGCGAGTATAGTGGATGCGAAGCTTCATAGGCAGTTCCACACCGATCAGGCGATAATTATGATGACGGCTGCTGTATCGTGCCTCGCAGAAGAAAGAAGCAAGAGACCAACCATGAATGAAGTTGTAAAATCTCTCTTGCATTGCGAGGGATGAAGGCATTCGATCCGCGTAATTAACACAGTTGCAAACAGTGGGGGACCAAAAGATAGTGAGAAACTGAGAACATCGACCTGAATATATAAATGTGTTTTTGCTTCTGTGTGACCTTTCTCACATTGCTACCAGATTTCCTGACTTAAATGGCGAAACAGGATATCTTGTATATGATTGAGTCAAGAGCTGTTTGTTTATTGGCTCTGTCCACTCATTTGATACTTTGTTGTCATTCAACTACTTTGAATTTTGCTTGTTATTCTCTGGACGTACAACGCTTGATGGTAAAATTTCCCTACTAATGGGACTCGTTTAAACGGTAAACATCGATCATAATTCAGAAAATAAACACAAGATGGAGTGGCATATATACTCTCTCCGTCCCAAAACACAAGATGAACTGAGTTTGAAATTTGAACTAAAGCGTCGACATTATCTTGGGAGGCAGGGGATACCTACTAACATGTACTACTCTCTGATGGATGGCCTGGACATACAATCAGTTCGTCCTGTTGTATGATGAACTTGCTGGTGATGGTCACACATGCTAAGGGGTCACCTATGCATCAGTTGCTTCGACAGAAAAAGAAACCCAGTTCCATTCCACTGGGTCTGATGTATGGAGAGGGCCGGTGGCGAGCAAACCTGGCCAGCATGGGCCATTCCACCCAACGTGGTCAAACCTCCTTGGCACATAGCTAAAACACGAGAGATAATTGCACACTAGAAGCAATCATACACAACAATGCACTCCATGAATGGTACACAGGATAACATCAGGTCGAATTATTCAAGATATACCTAACATGATTCAAGTAAACCTAAGTAATGGAACATCAAATATCTAAGGACGCGAAAAAAACAGAAATGAATACGTACAGCTGGGCCATCACATGGAGGTGACAATCAGGGGCATCCCATATTAGCCAAACCAATTTAGACCAAGTTGGTTAGAAGTCGGTGGTAGTTTTACTGGTTTCTGCCATGTTTGAGAATTTTTTCACCGTTGTTCGGGCGGCCACCAACTTCCTAGTGGCAGAGCAAACAAGGTCGGACCTGAACTATCAACACTTACTCTGCCCGTCATGTGATCATGTTAGAACGCAGGCTACTCGAATGAACGCATAACTAAGTGTTGCCTCCTTTCACTGAAGCTGAGATCTGCTGCTGCTTTCAGGCCAATGGAAGCTTGGCGCATTGTTGTATTGTGTCAAATCGAAAGATATGGTCTCCACCTAGAAGGCAAACAAATTTTAAGAAAAATAAGCATTAGTTTATCTGAATTTACTGAGACCAGTAAGAACAGACAGGGGTACTCGAAAGGGTATATTTGAGCTTACTCCGTATGGGAAGGTATCTGGTGCACCACTAGATGTTAATGGCCATCCCTCATTTACTTGATCTTCCTGAACCTAATGGGGAAAAACTTCAATGTTAATCATCAAGAACTATATGAAGAAAAAAAATTACTAGTCAAATGTGTGGACCTAGTAACAATACATACATTTGCGCTTTCTGTTATGCTGTCAGTTGCGGTGACCGTTGTGCATAGGTTGTTCGCAGTGGCATTCCTCCTCTTGTTATAGGCCCTTTTAGTTTTCTTCTTCAGGGTATCAAGAACTGTTGGTGTCGTCAGTTTCTTCTTGCGAGAACGTTTTGACTGACCTTGCATGAGATCCCAGCCCTTCGTACTAAGAGAAATGGGTAATGCATCATCAGTAAAATCCTCATTCACTGGATTATATGCAAAGTTGGCAGTTGAAACTTGGCTGTCAACCCTTTGATCTCTCAGTGACTTCTCATAAGAAATCACTTTATCCCTGATCTCCCTCATGACTGACAAAGCATAATCTTTTGATTCTGAGTTCACAGAACCCAGTTCCACAACTTCTGCAAAGTATTGGTGGCCTAGTTTGTAGAGATCATCATAACCTCCCAATTCCTGACTGCTTAATGAGACGTCCCGGGACATGGAAGAACAAGTTAGTTTACAATCCTTGCACCAGCGATGAATGATGTATTTTGATGGAATCATCGGTACAAGCTCCTGCCTCAGTACAGTGAGAGCATGTCTGCACAATATACCTTTAAATTGAAACAAGCGGCAGAAGCACCATATGTCATCTTCAGCATTGTCATAAGCAACTTTGTAGTCCACCTTTGTTTGATTTACATGCTCTGATACTATGTATGTAACTACTGAATCACTCCGATCAAGTATACTATAGTTGCAGTGAAATGAACGCCCTAATTCATTCAAGAAAGTTTGAAATATCTCCATTGTGTACATCTTTGCTGCTTGCTCCTCCACAGGCAATCCAGTCATCAACTGTGGCCTCATCTGAGACGAGTGCAAATCCTCATAGGTTTCCTTTTCTAACTTAGTTCTAACAGCTGCCTCATACTGCTCAACAAACATTTTCACAGATGTATCAGACGTCAACCACCCATCAAAATAGTCAGTTGCACTGTCAGTTCTGTCTGTGACGGACATTCCCGCCCAAAAAAAATCCTTCACATAAGCAGGAGCCCACTGTGCCCTGACCTCGTATAATTTGGACAGCCATTCATTTCCCTCCAACTGAAATTGATGCGTCATTTCTTGCCACTCTTTGTCAAAATCAAGAGTAGTAACTGAGTCATAGGCCAATGTGCTGAAAGTAGAAATCACTTCATCCTTCTTTTCCATTCCGGCCAACTTCTCAGGAAGCTCATTTAAAATGTGCCGAAGGCAAAAGCGGTGCCGTGAATTGGGGAAAACCTTTTTAACAGCTATTGCAACATCATGACAATAGTTGGTAATTATTGAAGGTGGTGACGTGGCATTCATGCATCTTAACCATGTATCAAAAAGCCACACGTAAGCTCCAAGAGATCTACCAGCAAGCAAACCACACCCTAGTAACAGTGGTTGAGCGTGGTGGTTAGTGCCCACAAATGACACAAACTGTATATCATACTGATCGCTGAAGTTTGTGACATTAATAGCAACCACATCACCAAAGTAATTGTAAGAACTACGTGATTTGGCATCAGCCCAGAAGACATTCCTTAGCTGTCCTTGCTCATTCATGTCTAAACTGTGAAAGAAACACGGGTTTCGGTCTTGCATGTCGTTGAAAAAACTCACTAATGCCTCTAAATCTCCTTCAGCAAGCTTCAGTTTCCTATTTCTGTCTATCTTGGTCTTGATTTCAATCTGGGCAGATGAAGGTATGCCACTATCTCCAAAACTACTAGAATGTCCAACAACTGAGCTACTCTGTGGCGCCTCAGACAAACGAGGTGGATTTAGAGAGAAAGGGATGTTCTCTAGATGCTTCTTATATTTAACCGAACCGGGATCCAGTGGATGGTTATGCTCCAACTCGAGAACAATAACTTCCCAGCGATTCTGAAAATGGGCGTCCTTGACAATGATCTTAGCCTTGCAGCCAGTCTTTGTGCCCCGCTTTCTTGCAGGCCTTGTCACACCAGATCTCAGCCTAGATTGCCCTCCTTTAGAGCATATGAAGGTAGAGCGATAGCGGAAACCATCAAAGGTGTTGTTAGACCTCCTTGTGATACCAAAACCAGAGTGGCATCCATATGCGACATAGAACTGAAAGGCGTCTTCCTCTGAGTCGAATACCATCCCCACTTTAGGTATCCATTCTGGATCCATATCAACCGGCTTAAAGACATCGCCCTCAGCAAGGCTTTTCTCCTTGTCACCGTCTTCTTGCACGTCTCCTTCATTGGATGATTCGGTGCTATAGCCTTCCTCTTCCATTGGCCCCAAATAATCTATTCGGCCTGAAAGAAGATGAGCAGTATCATAAACCGTGTATAAATACAGTTGAAAGAAGCATGCTGAGCATTTCTACAGCAGTTTTGGTTCATAAATAATTTTACAACTTTCTTCAATGATTATTACTTCAGAGTACTACTGCCGGCACTCGGTGGCGGAGCTAGGATTTGAAACGAATGTGACATGTGAACATTTCTAGTAATTACCAATATCATATATAAATAGATCAAAAAATGTAGTCTTGCAACATCGAGAAGGTTATTTGTCGAACCGTAAATAAAACTGAACATGTTATGTGTCGATGTAGTGTTGTACAAATAATAATTCCCTGGCTACCTGACTTCAGTCTCTGGATAAATCGAGATCGGGGCTGCTGCACGCCTCCAGTTTCCAGACTCTGGTGAATCCCAAGGAGGGCGAAGGCTAGAGGAGCTGCCGGGCCTGGACAAATTCAGATCTGTGCCAAAAAATCGTGTCAAATTCGATGTAAATATGTCTAAATCAGAGATCAAGTGAGCAACCATGGGGGATGGGGTACCTCTATAGGAAGGAGACGGGCACCACACCTGAGCGGATTGGGCGGCTCCGGCAGTTCGGTTAACAGGGAGGGAGGCTCCGCGTACTGCTGCGCAGTGGTACGCGCCTGCGCGGGCAGCAGCCGCCGGGCGGTGGGAGGGCAGGCAGGCAGGCAGCGGGCGTCAGGGCGGTCCGGCGGTGGCTCCGGGCGGCCGGGCGGGCTGGCTCGGCTGGCGGCGGATCAGTGCGTCTCAGCAGTCACCGTGGACTGGGTTGGCCGGACAAGCAGACGACACCAGCGTAGGCTGTTTGCTGGGCTTCTTTTCTCCCAGGCCCATCTCCTGGTAATTCTCAAAAAAAAAAGACCAGCCCAAAATCCCAGGGTGGGCCGCGGCACTCCCTGTTTGTTGGCTTGCTGAAGAAAGAAAGCAACCAACCAACCAAATTCAGAGGAGGGGCTCGCAAGCAAGCAAGGAGGCCAAGAGAGCAAAGGAGGGGCTTATCATCAGCTATGTGGGAGCCGGGCGAGGTAGCGCTTGCTGAGACGGTCGATGGAGATGCCAACGGCGCGTGCTTCGAGCTGGACGACATGCGCAGGCACAGGAGTCACGCAAGGCCTGATGGTGCAAACATTGACGCACTTCAGCAGTGCATGAGGATAGAGGTGTGCCAAGCTACGGGATACGCTAGGCTC